CGACAAAGGGGTTGATCCTGTCACTATGATCACCCACTCAGATGAATTCTCGGACTGTCCCAACATACCCAGGTTCTGACCCCCTCTAAGGATCTCACTGATTGGCATATCAAAGACAGCCCAATCCGACACCTAGTGCAGTATCATAATCAAGTCTAGGGGTCAGGTGTAACTTTCCAATTTTGCCCACTGATCACCAAGGTCCAGGGCAATGCAAGAAATCTGGTCCGGTTCAGGGTTTCAAGTAAATCTACACTACATGTACCTTGGGTCTCACCTTGGCAGCTGAGATAGGCCACCCCAACACTTGGTGGCACACCAGTGTCAGCCGTAGCAGGATAAATCTCCCCAGACTTATCCAACGGCTGTGAACATTCTAAACTAACACGAGTCTCATTATGTGTCCAATTTAAAGGTATTACACAAAAAACACACTACAATAACATGAATCAAATATGTACTTTATTCATTTACAATAAATGTCATAAGTACATCAATCTGACTGGAGCTAAGGGCATACACTGTCTAACACGTGTTAGTGTTAGTCTATAGTATATAGAAGAAAGAAGGAGGTTAAGAGTCATTTCATCTCTCATCTTAATGCTTACATAAATCTTCAATCTTCTCCTTTCCAAAAAAAAAACTCCCCCTCCTCTCATTTCTTGCACGTGGTTATTTATTTTAAAATTAAATTATTTAAAATATAAAAATCACAATAATTAATTAAAAACCTTTTTATTTTTAAATAAAATTAACTATTAACTATTAATTAATTAATTACAAATTTAAAATGAAATTTAATTTAATTAACAACTATTTTTAAAATTAATTCAGTTTAAAATAGCTAAAATTATAATAGGACAAATTTCTTAAACTACCCCTATTGTTTAGCTAATTGACAAACTATGCCCTTAAACTGCTTAACTATTGTCTTAAACCACCCCTATTGTTTATGACAATTGACTAGCTCTACCCCTGTCGTTAGCATCTACTAATGTTTTGTCAAAATCAATACACTCGTGATACCATGTGACATATAAAATTTTTCTAAAACCCAATATTACCCTTTTACCCATCTTCTGTAAGCTAGGTAAGAATCACTGCCTGTGAGCAAGATTGTTACACCAGTTTTCAAATCTAGTGTTTCCATGAGCTTAGTAGGGTTAGGGTTCGAAAGTAACCAGGAAGTAGCTTCCACCTCCTGTGGCACATGTTTGCATTGCCATCGCCATCGTCATTGTCTCCGGGGACCACTTCAGCTATTGTGTAATTACAACTATGGAGAGGGTGGAAGAAGCATCAAATCAAATTCAATGGTTTGAGTTCTTTGGAGACACTACCTGGATACTTTTGTGCGGTAGAGCCGAGAATGCATATGACCGAGAAAGAAAAGAGAAAATTTCAATAACTGTGGCTTCGACCCCCAAATCAATTATTTATAGAGAAGAAGACATGGAAAGGTCTGCTAAATTTACACCACCCAGGACCATATGTGCATTGTTCAGGAGAATAGGACTCAAGTCTTAATCCGTTGTTCTCTAGTAGACTATAAGATATTAGTCAATGTTATAGTTTATCGACAACTCTAACAATTGCCATCATTACTATGTCATGTGTTCCATCACAAAACACAAGATACAGTCGAATATTGAAACAAAGACATGGAGTCCTGGTCAAAGAGGTTTGAATTGGTATTTTAGTGTACAAGTTTTCTTCTTTTTTAATTGAAAAGGAGAGGGGGGATTGAAAAGCATGTGTTGAAGTACAATGGGTTTCAACCTAGTCTTTGGCACCTTGCTACGGTAGAGAAGAGGAAGGGGAGAAAGAGGGAAAAGAGAAGGGCTTTGGACGAGCACACGATTCTAGTTGGGCTGATGGGAGAAGAAACGAGAAAGAGAGAGGGAGAGGGAGAGAATGAGAGAGGAAAAAGAAAACCGCCATTGTTGAAAGTTGCAGCGACAGTGGTGAGCAGAGATGATAATAGATGAGGGAGAAAGAGATGGGTGCTCGAGAGAGGATGATAGAGAGATAAATAGAGTGAGAGAATGAGAAAGGATCGGAGAATGAAGATTGTTTTTCAAAATAGGTTAAATGATGAAGAGACCAAGGGCAAAAGGGACATTTCATCTGTTCCATTATGATTTAATGACAATGACATTGACAATTGTTAGAAACAATATGATGGTTTAAGACAATAGTTAAATAGTAAGGATATAGTTTGCCGATTAGCTAAATAGTAGGAGTAGTTTAAGAAATTTGCCCATTATAATATTTTATAATTGAGATTAGCTAAATAGTAGGAGTAATTTAACTTATTATTATTTAAGTTCTATTTAATTAAGATTTGAACCTCCTTTAAAAATAACTACATTAATAAAAAATAATGCAATCGATAAAAATTAAAATAAAATTGAAATTAATTTTAATATCAGGGTAAATTGCTAAAACCTCCCCTAAAGTTTGGTAATTACAATCATCTACCCCAACATTTTGACATAATTGCAAGTAGACCCCATTTGTTAAAATCCTGCACTGAAATGCCCAAAATACCCATGTAATTACTAATGAGGCTGATTTTTATAGAAAAAACAATGCAAACTTTACAGACAACAAAACAAAGAGAGTTTAATTAAAATTGTAGTTTTACATTTGAGTAATTAATATGAAGTGATATTTAAGAAGTAAATCAATTTTTGAATAAGAGAGGGTTGGAGTAGTGATTGATATGAATAAAACATTTTGGTCAAAAGTAACTAAGTGGGTATTTTTAATATTTTCATGCCTCTTATTACAAAGAGGGTTTACTTGTTAGAAAATTCACAAAGGTAATTGCAATTACCAAAGTTAAGCAGAGGTTTCAGCAATAACCAAATACTTTGGGAAGTTTCAGCAATTTACTTTTAAAACTAAACTAATGTCTTTTACTTAAACTAGTAATTAAGCACGTGTGTTGCATGTGAGATTTTTTTTTACATTAATTATTTGAATTTTAGATATATTATAATTAAGATAAAAATTGAAAATTAACAAAAGTAACAATGTGATTAAAAATAAACTCAAATGCTTGTAATAAATGTGCACGTGTATTGCACGTGGAAATTTTAAATTATAATAACAATTATTATTATTATTATTAAATTTTGTATTCCATTAAGTTTTGCCATAAATAAAAATAAAATTTATTTTAACAATTATTTTTATTTATTATGATGAATGTATAACATTATAGATGTTCCTAAATGCGATAGAATTTTGTATTTTATCTTTTTAAAATATTTATTATTCAATTATGACATCATGAGTTTCTTTGAAAAGTTGGATCATTGACTCACCATCTAGATAAGAAAATGGCTTTACTTTTGGATTTGTTTTAAATTATATATCATCTACATTATATAAATAAATTATACTTATTTTTTGTTTGACATAATTAATATATACTTTTGTATATTTTTTTGATACTTGCACTTTTTTATTTTTTAAAGATTTATTATTTGACCCAAACCACTAACCCACAACCCAAAAAGGAAAACAATTTGATTTCTAGGTTGACACTAAATTTCATATTATATTTCCATCATTGACAAGGAATGTATAATATTAGAGGTTTACCCAATATTTATTTTTATGAATATGTAACATTAGATATGTACCCAATTTTTTTTTCTATTTTTTGTTATTATTTATTATTTTCTATTTTTAAAAATTTTATTATTTGACTATGACATCATTACATTTATAGGTTGATTTTAACTTTGGCATTCTATTTTCATCATTAATAGAATTACTTTACATTTCATATGTATTTTTATTTAATATAATGAATATGCAATATTAGAGATATGTCTAATTCTTTTTATTTTTTGTATTATATATTTTAATTTATTATTATTAAATATGACATTATTTATTAACCCATTTGACCCAAAATAGTTGAATTGCTTACTCGCCACTGGGAGGGGAGAAAATAGTTTTATTTTCAAAATATTTTTTAAAATATTTATTTTTATAACATTAAAATTAATTTTGTGGATTTAATGAGAGAATATACCTTAGCATGAGATTTAGTGAGAGAGAATAGGAAAACAATTTTATTTCTAATCAGTTTTAAATTTTACATTCTATTTTCATCATTAATAAAAACATTTCTTATTTATCATACTTATTATTGTTTAATATGTCGAATATATGATGTTAAAAATGTTCTTATTTTTTTTAATTTCTATATTTTTTATATTTTATCTATTTTTGAATTTTATTATTTAATAGTGACAACATGGTTTGACCCATTTGACCCAAAATGGTTTAATTTCTTACCACTGCCTAGATGAAAACACTATTTTTTTTTTTGAGGTAGATTTTAAAAGTATGCTTTTATGTTATTGAAATTATTAATTTATTAGGTATGGATTTAATTAATAGAATTTAATGATGAAAAAAATAAAGATGCCTTAAATATATAATTCAATAAAGTCGAATATCTTATAATTATATCTTTTCAATTCATTTAATATTAATAATTGATAACCCTTTTACCATATTTTTTATTAACAAATGTAAATATAAAAATACAAATTTTATTCTCAAAAAATTTGAGAAATATTAGTGAAGTGGTATAGATACAGATTTGGTATAACAAATCCGTTGCACGAATTCCAACTAGTTTCAGCAATTTTCTTTGATTCTATGTTTCACATTCATCCGTTTGTAGTCCTATGAGTGTGATTCACCAGGCAAAAAACAAAAAAAAAGTGTGATTCACCACTCACCAGGCTATTAACACGCGTCACGCGTGGGAATACGAAGCAAGCGCGTACCATATATCCAACGCGGCCTTTCGATGGAAACCCTTTCTCTCTCCCTGTTCATTATTTTCTATTTGTCGTGTCCTCCGATTTACATCTCCGCTCCATTCCATTTCATCGATCTCTTTTGGCTTTTAGGCCGGCATCTCTGCAGCTCGTCCTCCAGCGTACCCATTGAAACTCTTCCTTCTTTATTTTATTTGCCTTGTTAGCATAATTCTGATAAGTGAAAAGGACAAAAAGATCTTCGTTTTATCGTAGGCAGTCTCAGAAGCCGCCCCCGGATCGGAACAGACAGAAGCCTTGAAATGGTGAAGGAAACGGAGTACTATGATATATTGGGGATCAGCCCGACAGCTACAGAGGCTGAGATCAAGAAAGCTTATTACATCAAGGTGACCATTCATTGACCCATTAATTAAGTCTCAATGTTTTCTCATTCAAATATAAAAGTTATTAAGAACGAATGATAAATGCCTATAAATCAAATTAATCTCCTTAGATTGGTAGAAGTTTTCCAAAGCTATGAAATAGCGCTTTGGGTTGATTTCCAAAACAAGAACATGATCTAAGTTCGATTCAAGAGGGTTGAGAAGATGAATGCGTCGAAAAGCCATTAGGTCAAAGTGGAGTACATGAATTATTAGGTATTGGAAGGAAATTCAGTGAAGGGTGTGTTTTCGGGGAAGGTGGGTTTTGCCCATCCGTTAAAAAAAGGTTTTTCTCTTTTTGGACTATTTTGGTGGTTAGGTAGACTCCTGATTCGTTAAGGATTTCTAATTTCTTCTCTGAGCAACTGAGAGCTCCTCCATCCAGTGGGGCAGCAAACCTTCCCCCAACTAAAAAAAAATAAAATAAAATAAAAAAGAAAGAACGAAAGAACGAAAAAACCAAAAGAAGTCTCTTCAGGAAAAAAAAAGAAGCACCGTATTTAACTTAAAATTGGCACGGTTGTGCATTTTTACCAATTCAATTTCCGTACCAGACTTTTAACTCACAATTCAAACTTCATTCAAAACGATGCTCTATTATAAAATAAAATGCTGGCTTCTTGTTGAGCACCTAAGTAACATGCATGATAGGGGTGTTCCATGTTGGTAGTTTCTGGGAGATTTATTCAGGTAACCTGGACTCATTGTTTAAGTATCCACACTAGGTGTCTTTTTTCTAGGAACTACACCTTGAACACGCATATTTTCGATGGAAAACTTATTTGTTTTTATTTTATTTTATTTATATATTTATTTTTGATAGGTATGGTGAGGTTTAATTGTATTATTCTGTTTTTTGAAGAGGAAAGGTTGTCAAGATGGCACACCAAACTACTAATCAAAAACAAAAAGATCAACATTACAAGCTTGAAGCTCAAGGACATCCCAGAAATTTTCCACTAAATCTGTTCTATTAACTTGCTCAAATTCTGAAAGAATCAAGGCCCAGTCTGCTACAAGCTTTCCAACTGAAGCAACTATCACTAAAGTGTTCTTTGACTTGCCTTCAAACAACCTTCTGTTCCTTTTATCCAAATTGCGCAGCACACTGCAAAGGGGATGCAGCTCCAAATAATTATTGCTTTTTTGTTCCCTTTGAGTCTTGGCCAAGAGGGGAATATTTCACTGATGAAGATGTCTGAAAGGCTCTCACACCAAATAAGAATGAGTATATTTTTTTTTTGGATAAATAAGAATGAGTAAAATTTCCATATCAAGTATCCTGCCTTGCAGTAGAAGAACAAGTGACAAACAGTCTCCTCATCTGAATTACATAAGTAGCAATAGTTTGCCAAGCTCATACCTCTACTTTTCCGATGGTCTATAGTTAAGATACTATCTAATGCTACCAGACATGCAAATTCTTCCACCTTTGGAGGGACTGGATTCCCCCATACACCTTCTACTTAGTCTGTGGTCATATTGTCTCTGATCATGGCCAAGTAAAATGATTTCACCGAGAACTTTCCATCCCTGCACTCCTTCCACCAGAGTCCATCACTGAAAGGTGCTGAAATTCTTGACTGTTCTAAGTTCTAACCTATCCAACAACGTAATACATTTCTCCATTTCTTGGTCCAGCAAAGGCCTTTTGAATTTAGGACACCACACTACCTGCTGACCTCTCAGCTCATACTACTTAGTCTTTATTTGTTGTTCAGAAAACCTGTACAGTTTTGGGCAGAGATCACACAATTTTCTAACTCCACTCCACTCATCTTCTCAAATTCTCCCTCTAGCTCCATCTCCCACATTGAACCTAACCAAGCCCCTGAAGTCCTCATTAAACCTCATGATACCTTTCCAAACACTCAGCCCATAACCTGACACTTCTCTTGATTCCCATCCAAACCTCACCACCCCATACTTCCCCACTACCACTCTCCTCTATAGAGATCCTCCCTCCCTTTCCAACCCAAACGGCCAAACCTCCAAAGCCATTTTCCCGAGAGGGCTTTATTAAAATTTTTTATCCTTCTAAATCCCAGCCCCCTTCCCTTTGGCCTGCATATCCTTTCCCACTTAACCAAGTGGAACTTCTTTGATCCTGCAGCCCCTTCCCAAAGAAATCCCTCTGAATCTTCTCTAGCTTGTTGGCTACTGCTGTTGGGACCTTTGACAATGAAAGGTAATAAGTAGGTAGATTCGATAGTGAGAGGTGCTTTGCCTTCCATCTTTTCAGCCTCTTCTCCACTCTTTCTATAAGGTCTCCAAATGCTTACAGTGGCTGATTTAGCCTCATCGGGAGAAGAAAGTTAGTTCCCCTAAGTGGAACTCAAAAGCTGCTGCAAACTGCTCCAGGACTTATCTTCTTATCTTTCCAACTCCAATCATAAGGCATTTTTTTTTCTAGATTCACTTTCATCCCTGTCAACATCTGAAAGTGGAACCCTTCTTGTTACAAGTTTAAGCTGGAGGAAGAGGTGCTACAAATCAAGCTGGTTGGTCTCCGGTTCAATCTGTGTAAGTTCGAGACTTTCCTCCAAGTGGCAAGTTTATGCGGAGGATCACTGGTAGCAGTAAACACCTCGTCACTACAAGCAGCCAAAATCAAGGTGAAATGCTCTAATTCTGATTGAATTCCTAGAATAGTTGAGTTCTTTTCCAATGGTCGATGGCGGAGAGTTTGGTTGGCGTTGGAAGCTGAAACGCTGCCGTGGGAGAAGAGTAAAGAGGAGGAAGAAGACGGTGGCATGGCCAGATGGCTGACAAGTGGTGTAAATGAGGAGGAAAACTTTAAATTCAATGTCGGCCTCTCTTTAGAAGCTATACCACCGAACTTTGGCTCGGGTGGCTCTAATTGGCCATTAAATCTGGGTTTCTCAAATGTTTTTGAATTTACAAGGTCAGTTGAACCAAAAGTTAACCTACCCTACGTGGAGGTTTTAAAAAGATGGGCAAAATAAGGTGGGGTTGGCTGAACCAGGAATGAACCGTTGAGTTGACCTAGCTGTGAAGTGTTCGCCACGTGACGACTTAAAAGTCATGTGCAAAGGGCGATGGGGGACAAGATTTGTGGTCTATCATCGTCCCCATCAACTTCTAACAGTCGAACGGGGGCTTCTCCGTCACAACTGATTTGGGTGAAATGAGATAAGCCTAATCCTTGTTACGATAGGGCCAAGGTCGATTGGAGGGACAATTTTGAAAATGGTCGTTGGGTGGATTGTGATGTATCAGACGACGACTTCTCTTCCGAAGATGATTCAAGCTACAAAGGCATTGAAGGTACAGTCCAAGTCTGCCTAGAAGGTGACATGGACTATCACATTGGTTCTCTTTTTGGGGGAGGAGAGGAAGTTGTTAATAAGAAGGATAGTCATAAGGAGCGGTCAAGGACACCGATTCCAATTGGTGAAGTGCAGCTTCTCTCAGGTAATAGCTCAAAGATTCCTTCAACTTGTCAAGATGAGAACAAAGGTGGCCAAGGAGTCAAGGACACCGTTTCCAGTGAGTGGCAAGGTCATGGGGTTTAGGTGGTGAGTCCGCAGGAAAACCAGGAAATTGCAAAGGACACTTTAGATTGGGGTACAAACCCAGATCTGGTGAAGTCTAACACTCCTTTGAAGCCTTCTCAAATTGTTAGTGATGTTTTTAGGGGTTTGGAGAGCCACCAAATGGTTTAGGTTTTTGAAAGAATTGTCAGTCCCTCTGTAGTGTCAGGCACTCAGCCAACCTCTGGTAACCACTATAACTTTGGTGATTTAGTTTTTTGTACTAATCTTTGTCTTGCTGGTTCTACAGATGCCTACAGACGGAGAAACAAGTAGGGATTTAGGTGGTGGAGGTTTTAGAAGAGAAACAATTGGAGATAGGGAAGGAAGGGAGGATGTTCAAGAAGTGATCTGTAATCAGTCTCAGGAGGGGGGTATAGTTGGGGAAAAATTGGTAGCAAAAGGAAACCAGTCTCAGGAGTGTCCAAAAGGTGGAAAAGTGGGGAATGAACCAAGCAAAGGAAGGGAAGAAAGGATTGAGTCCGGAAAAAGTAAAACAAATGAAGAAATACGGAATGCAAAGAACCTGGTGATGGATTTGGCTGATAAAATGGGGCTGAAGGTGGAGAAAATCAAAGAAAGAAAACCTCCAAGCCAAACAACTAAAGAAAAGGGAGGCAAGAGGAGAAGGAAGCTAAATGAAGTGGAAAAACTTATTGGTGATGTAGAAGGGGACAAGGAGTTAAGTGCTAGAGGAGACAGAAGGAAGGGGGGTTTGTAGGTGTCTTTTGTTGGTGACTGGGGTTATCTCTTTGTAGTGATCATGAAGATTATTAGTTGGAAAGTAAGGGGTTTAGGAAGTGCCACAAAAAGAAGTGTGATTAAAGAGTTACTGAGGAAGACCAGATTTTGTTCTAATCCAAGAATCCAAAATTCAGGATGTTGACAGAAAATGGATAAGGAGTATTTAGGGGGAGAGAAATGCTAGTTGGAGTTTTGCACCCTCATGGGGTGCTTCGGGGGGCATAATAACAATTTGGAAAGAAGAGGTAGTTCAGTGTTTGGAAGAGTTGGTGGGCAAATTCTCAGTGTCTATCAAGTTAAAGGATTTGAAGGATGGGTTTGAATGGGTTCTGACAAATGTCTATGGGCCAAATTCTTATAGATATAGGAATTTGATGTGGGAGGAGCTTGAGGATATTAGGGGTCTTTGGGAAGGGCCATGGTGTATAGGGGGAGACTTCAATGTTGTTAGATTTGTGGACGAATCAAGTATGGGTAGACAAAGGACTACAACAAGCATGAGAAACTTTAATTCTTTTGTTGAGACCTTTGATTTGAGAGATATTCAGCTGGGACAATCCTGTTTTACTTGGTTAAATCTTCAAGCAAATCCTATTCTCTCTAAGCCTGACAAGTTTTTAGTCTCACATGATTGGGAAGAGCATTGGCTAGACTTATTTGGGAGAA